CAACCAATTTGTGTAGCTTGCTGTCAACCTTTGCGGCCTGAAAGACAGTTGCATCTGTCAAGTAGGAAATTTAGGTACTGCTTACGTGGGGAGGCTAAATAACGACACCATAAAAATCTCCAGCAAGCATGCAAAGAATGAGGAAGTACAAATGGACAGGGTAACAAATGGACGGTAAAGCGACAGCTCAGCTGGTGGCCAGAATACCCTCATGAAAGCTGGAATGTAAATAGCCTGTGAGTGTCTTTCGATATATGTTGTGTGCCTATGGCATTGAATGTTTGCCATGTATATGTACATTGTAATCTGTCCTGAGTCCCCTGTGGGGTGAGAAGGGCGGAATATAAATACTGTAAATAAATAATAAACTTCTTGATGCATTTTTCTTGATCCAGAAAGGTTCAAATTCTTATGTTAAAAGTTTGCCTTCTGTGAGGACACTTCAGACGAAAGCAGAAAGGGGGTCCATGGCACACTGTAATCAGGGAAATCTAAGGAGGAATGTATTATCTCACATCCGTCTGTTAGTAACACCACAAAGCACCGCAGATGCAAAAGAGGAAGGACGATTAAGTGGGCGCATAGAGACAAACACAGAGCCAATCTTATCTGGGATGATGGAAACCATGTGTGAACTGATTATACATACACACCCTTTTGTGTTTGACATATGAAAACAAGGGCTTGGTCCAAGCTGTAGCACAAAATTGCAGACCGAAAGCTTCTTTACAGTTAGAAGTGTAAGCAAGCCCTCACAAAGCTGGAACTCAGCATCATCATTGGGCCCAATATCATCGGCCACCCTGCTTCCCTGACTCATGAGTTTTCCTTGGCAAGATGTGATCAGAAGGGGTTTGCTGTCATTGGGTTGTTGTGAGTTTTCTGGGCTGTATGGCCATGTTCCAGAAGCATTCTCTCCTGATGTTTCACCTGCATCTATGGCAGGCATCCTCAGAGGTTGTGAGGTCTATTGGGAACTCGGAAAAGGTGTATATATCTGTGGAATAATGTCCAAGGTGAGAGAAAAAACTCTTGTCTGCTTGAGGCAAGTGTGAATGTTGCAATTGGCCACCTTTATTAGCATTTAAATGGCCTGTCAGTTTCAAGGTGTGGCTTCTTACTTCCTGGGGGAATGCTTTGTTGAGAGGTGATTAATTGTCCCTGATTGTTTCTTGTCTAGAGTTCCTAGGAATTAAAGACGTGGATGTTTTGTTGTGCATTTGACTGATGACTCCTGTGGCAGATGTCCTGATTTAAAATTCCTATATTTCATTACTACATTTTTAAGTTAAGCTGAATTGATCCTGTCTAATTGCTCTGTTTCCATGCTATTTCCTGTGCTACTATACGTTTCTATCCACCGTATTGACCACCCTATCCTTTAACCAGTTTCGCGTAGTGGCCCCCTCCCCCGACTCCAAAAATGAGTCTGTTGTTGCTTTTGATGCTTGTTTATTATTGTTTATGCTGTTTTATGCTATTTTGATATGTTATTGTTCTGTTTTTAATTGGGCTTGGCCCCATGTAAGCCACACCGAGTCCCTTCGGGGAGATGGAGGTGGGGTAGAAAAATAAAGTTCTTCTTCCTCCTCCTCCTCCTCCTCCTCCTCCTCCTCCTCTTTCCCTCTTTTTGAGTGTTGTTCTGTATTTACTCTTATGATATTAGAGTTTTTTAAATACTGGTAGCCGTATTTTTTTCCTTTTCATGGTTTCCTCCTTTCTGCTGAAATTGTCCACATGCTTGTGGATGTCAGTGACTTCTCTGTGTAGTCTGAAATAGTAGTTTTTTGCATAGTCCAGCATTTCTGTGTTCTCAAATAATATGCTGTGTCCAGGTTGGTTCATCAGGTACTCTGCTATGGTTTACTGTCACTTTCTTCTGAGGCTGAGAGTGTGTGACTTGCCCAAGGTCACCAAGTTTACATGTCCGAACGTATCTCCCACTATGATCCACCTAGGGCCCTAAGATCAACTGGGGAGTCCCTGCTCGTTGTCCCCCCATTATCACAATCATGGTTGGTGGGGACAAGCGACAGGACCTTTTCTGTGGTGGCCCCTCGACTGTGGAACTCCTTCCCAAGTGAAATGAGATCTGCTTCATCCCTCCTGACCTTTCAGAAACAAGTGAAGTCATGGTTTTGGGATTAGGCCTTTGCAGATTAGGCTGACCTGCTGGCACGACAGCTTGTACGGAACTGACTGACTGCCCCTAGGGATGACTTAAACTGGAGACTGTTGACTGCTGAATGTTTGATACTGTTTTTATACTGTTTTATATTACTAGCCGTCCCCTGCCACTCGTTGCTGTGGCCCAGTCTGGTGATCTGGAAAATAAAGTAATTAGAAAGTGTTGGTTTCTAATATATGTAATTTCTTTATGCTTGTGGGTAAACAGTATTCTGTTTCTTTGTCAGTGTTGATGTGGAGATTGTCTGGTCTGCCCACCTGAACATGCAACATATCATTGTCCTTCTTTAGGGGTCCCTTTCACAAATCTATGATACTATATCTGTGTGTGTGTGAATCATATATCTATCTATATCTATGGCTGGATGGATCTTTGTCAGGAGGACTTTGATTACGTTTTCTTGCCCTGATGAAAGGAGTTGGATTGGGTGGCCTTAAGTATTTTCTGTTGGTCATGGGGGTTCTGTGTGGGAAGTTTGCCCCAATTCTGTCGTTAGTGGGGTTCAGAATGCTCTTTGATTGTAGGTGAACTATAAATCCCAGTAACTACAACTCCCAAATGTCAAGGTCTATTTCCCCCAAACTCCATCTGTGTTTATATTTGGCATATGGAATATATGTGCCAAGTTTGGTCCAGATCCATCATTGTTTGAGTCCACAGTGCTCTCTGGATGTAGGTGAACTACAACTCCCAAACTCAAGGTCAATGCCCGCCAAACCCTTCTAGTGTTTTCTGTTGGTCATGGGAGTCCTGTGTGCCAAGTTTGGTTCAATTCCATCATTGGTGGAGTTCAGAATGCTCTTTGATTGTAGGTGAACTATAAATCCCAGCAACTACAACTCCCAAATGACAAAATCAATTTTTTGAGTGTTGGTCACTCCTGTTAGTCTCTTGTGTCCAAATTTGGTGTCTATTCATCCAGCGGTTTTTGAGTTATGTTAATTCCACAAATGAACATTACATTTTATTTATATAGCCTAACCATCACCTGCCATGTGTTACGGTGGCCCAGTCTGGTGATCCAGAAAATAAAGTAATGAGAAAATGTTGGTTTCTAATATATGTAATTTCTCTATGCTTGTGGGTAAACAGTCCATGGGGTTCAGAATGCTCTTGATTGTAGGTGAACTATAAATCCCAGTAACTACAACTCCCAAATGTCAAGGTCTATTTTCCCCAAACTCCACCAGTATTCACATTTGGGCATATTGAGTATTCGTGCCAAGTTTGGTTCAGATCTATCATTGTTTGAATCCACAGTGTTCTCTGGATATAGGTGAACTATAACTTCCAAAGTCAAGGTCAATGTCCACCAAACCCTTCCAGTATTTTTTGTTGGACATGGGAGTTCTGTGTGGAAAGTTTAGTTCAATTCCATCATTGGTGGAGTTCAGAATGCTCTTTGATTGTAGGTGAACTATAAATCCCAACAACTACAACTTCCAAATGACGAAATCATAATTTTTTTAGTGATGGTCACTCCTTGTGTAGTGAGACATTTTGTTGCCAGATTTGGTGTGATTTCGTTCATTGGTTCATAGAATCATAGAATAGAATCATAGGATCAAAGAGTTGGAAGAGACCTCATGGTCCATCCAGTCCAACCCCCTGCCAAGAAGCAGGAATGTTGCATTCAAATCACCCCCGACAGATGGCCATCCAGCCTCTGTTTAAAAGATTCCAAAGAAGGAGCTTCCACCACACTCCGGGGCAGAGAGTTCCACTGCTGAACGGCTCTCACAGTCAGGAAGTTCTTCCTCATGTTCAGATGGAATCTCCTTTCTTGTAGTTTGAAGCCATTGTTCCGCGTCCTAGTCTCCAGGGAAGCAGAAAACAATCTTGCTCCCTCCTCCCTGTGGCTTCCTCTCACATATTTATACATGGCTATCATATCTCCTCTCAGCCTTCTCTTCTTCAGGCTAAACATGCCCAGCTCCTTAAGCCGCTCCTCATAGGGCTTGTTTTCCAGACCCTTTTGTTTTTAAAGTCTGGCATGCTTTCCTCTGAGGCTGAAAGAATGTGTTGTACCCAAGGTTATCCAATGAATTTCTGTGGCTGAGTCTCCTAAAGTCATAGCTGAAAACTATGACTTTAGATTATATGACAATGATTATATGACAATGGCTCCAAGTAAGTGAAAGGTAAAGGTTTCCCCTTGACATTAAGTCTAATCATGTCCAATTCTAGGGGGTGGTGCTGGTGCTCATCTCAATTTCTAAGCTGAAGAGCCGGCGTCATCCATAGACACCTCCAAGGTCATGTGGCCAGCATCGTTACCTTCCCACCCGAACGGTACCTATTGATTTACTTACACTTGCATGTTTTCAAACTGCTAAAGTACTCATTATGCACAGAGCATTTATATATATATATAAGATTGTATTTAAACTGCATATTTATGTTTTTGGTTGTGGGCACCATGGGGTGCCATTCTGTTAGCCGCCCTGAGTCCCTCTGTGGAGGTTGAAATAGGACGGGATCCAGAAATCTGAAATAAATAAATAAATTCTATAGATGAGAAAGTATTCGAATTCTGGTCACCAGAGTCATAGACCAGGTCTCAAAGCACGATGCTGCATTGGCTCTCAGCAAGAGCGGACAGGTATGTTAGAGCGATGGACCCCTAGGCACACTGTTTTGAGTGCAGACAAGTTGCAACTCAATGCAGAAATGTGGAAGGCTTGTCATGGGGAAAGTGGTGCAACGCTCTCTGCATTCTTTCTTTCCTTTCCTAATTTGAGCAGCCTTGGTCCCGCCTTGTCCAAAGACAGGAGGGAGGGACCTGGATGCAGGTTTTCTTTTTAAACAGCTCAACTGAGAGAGAGCATGGACAGAAGCGCCAGCAGCATGCTGCTTCGGTCCTTTTTTGGCACTTCCTTTCTTTTCCATTCTCCCTCCAACCTCAGGGGCGGCTTGCATTGTTCATTGATGTTCTCCTTCATCAGACAAGGAGACATGTCCCTCTCTCTGCCAAAACAGAATGTGAATGGTGGTGAATAGAAAGGACCCTTCCAGGGCAACACTTTGACAGTGTGCTTCTATGCACACCCATCTCTCTCTTGCGCTTCCTCATCAGGATCATCCGCTTTGAGGAGAAGCAACATCCAAGTGGCAGCTTGCAAACTTGGCACGTAAGTTTTAGTCTGTTTATATTTTTGTCTGCAGCTTCTGAAAAGTCTCCGCAGCTGGAAATAATGTAAACTTGGGATATGTATCTTCTGTCCAGTCTACTGAGACTTGTGCCATCACTCCTTTATGTCAATCGGAATTTATAGCACCAAGTGGCGCAATGGGGGGAAATACCCCTAAGGTGATTTCTCCCCTCGTTTCTGCTAAAACAGCATGAGATGGGCTTGCTTTCAAGTCTAGTCTTGCCTTCACCTCTGGGTTATCAGTGAATGAATGAGAGCATGCTGCCAAATTAGGTAGTAACTGGCCATTCAGATTAGGAAGGCAGGCAACTGCTCAACAACGTTTACTCACGTGTTGTGCTCTTCCTCTTGACTCTTTGTAGACCGAGGTGATCTTCTTGAGATATTCAAGTCTGGATATCTAGATATTTTTTTTGTTGTGTCAGGAGCAACTTGAGAAACTGCAAGTCGCTTCTGGTGTGAGAGAATTGGCCGTCTGCAAGGACGTTGCCCAGGGGACGCCTGGATGATTTGATGTTTTTATCATCCTTGTGGGAGGCTTCTCTCATGTCCCCGCATGAGGAGCTGGAGCTGATAGAGGGAGCTCATCCACCTCTCCCCGGATTTGAACCTGCGACTTGTCGGTCTTCAGTCCTGCCGGCACAGGGGTTTAACCCACTGCGCTACCGGGGGCTCTGGATATCTAGATGCTAAGAGATGTATTTTGCAATGACACCCAGAGGAGGGTGACTAAAATGATCAAGGGTCTGGAGAACAAACCCTATGAGGAGCAACTTAAAGAGCTGGGCATGTTTAGCCTGAATAAGAAAAGGCTGAGAGGAGACATGATAGACATGTAAAAATATGTGAGATGAAGTCATAGGGAGGAGGGAGCAAACTTGTTTTCTGCTGCCCTGGAGACGAGGACGCAATGGAGCAATGGCTTCAAACTACAAGAAAGCAGATTCCATCTGAACATTAGGAAGAACTTCCTGACTGTGAGAGCTGTTCAGCAGTGGAACTCTCTGCCCCAGAGTGTGGTAGAGGCTCCTTCTTTGGAAGCTTTTAAACAGAGGCTGGATGGCCATCTGTCAGGGGTGCTTTGAATGCAATTTTCCTGCTTCTTGGCAGGGGGTTGGACTGGATGGCCCATGAAGTCTTTTCCAACTCTATGATTTTATGATTCTACTAGCCATCCCCTGCCACGCATTGCTGTGGCTCAGTCTGTGTATATGTGTTTTGTGCGTGTATGTATGTGTCTATGTGTATATGTGTGGTTTTGTGCATGTGTTGTAATTTTTTTTGTTTTTTGGCTTTTTAAGTCTCTTTTTCTGTGTTTTTCAGTGTTTTTATGAGTGATGGTCACTTGTTGGCCTGATAGGTGTCTCGTGTCCAAATTTGGTGTCAATTCATCCAGTGGTTTTTGAGTTACGTTAATCCCACAAACGAACCTTACATTTTTATTTATATAGATGATAGTGATATTGCTCAGTTGTGGTGCTTGCGATGCATGTTACCTGCTATGGCTGAAAATGTTACATTGTGTTGTTGAAGGCTTTCATGGTCAGAACCACTGGGTTGTTCTGTGCTTTCCGGGCTGTATGGCCATGCTCCAGAAGCATTATCTCCTGACGTTTCTCCCACCTCTATGGCAAGCATCCTCAGAGATTGTTCCCAACGGACCTCACAACCTCTAAGGATGCCTGCCATAGATGCAGGCGAAACATCAGGAGAGAATGCTTCTGGAGCATGGCCATACAGCCTGGAAAACACACAACAGCCCAATGTTACATTGGCTGATGCTACTGAATGGTCCAAGAAGAGCCAGCTCAGTGAAATAGTTTGAATGTTCAACTACAGTTTTGGAGGACAGAGCTCAAACCCCCACTTATCTATGAAAGTCCATTCCATGGGTGGCAGTGGTTCTCAACCTTCCTAATGCTGTGACCCATTAATACAGTTCCTCATGTTATGGTGACCCCCAACCATAATATTGTTTTTGTTGCTACTTGATATCTGCCATTTTAATATTGTTATAAGTCATAAATATCCAATATGGAGGATGTGTTTTCATTCACTGAACCAAATTGAGCACAAATACCCAATACGCCCAAATGTGGATGCTAGTGGGGTTGGGGGAGGATTGATTTTGTAATTTGGGAGTTGTAGTTGCTGGGATTTATAGTTCACTTATAATCAAAGAGCATTCTGAACTCCACCAGCAATGGATTTGAACCAAACTTGGCACAAAGAGCTCCCATGACCAACAGAAAACACTGGAAGGGTTTGGTGGGCATTGACCTTGAGTTTGGGAGTTGTAGTTCACCTATATCCAGAGGAGCACTGTGGATTCATGTAATGATGGATCTGGACCAAACTTGGCACGAATACTCAATATGTCCAAATGTGAACACTGGTGGAGTGTAGGGAAATTAGACCTTGACATTTTGGAGTTGTAGTTGCTGGGATTTATAGTTTACCTATAATCAAAGAGCATTCTGAACTCGACCAACAAAAGAATTGGTCCACCTTTCCAAGGAGGCAATGGCAGTCACAGTTTGAATAAAACTGGGAAAATCCCATGATAGTTTTCACTCAGGTTACAGTAAGCTGAATATGACTTGAAGGCACAAACAACTTGTAATTTCCTGCTAGAGAGCTCTAGTGCCTCACCAAATGACAAATCCCAGTATTTCATAGGATGTACCCATGGCATCCAAAATGGAATCATAGTGCTATAACTGTGCAGTCTGGCATACTTTCCTCTGAGGCTGAAAGAATGTGTTGTATCCAAGGTTATCCAATGGATTTCTGTGGCTGAGTCTTCTAAAGTCATAGCTTAAAACTATGACTTTAGATTATATGACAATGATTATATGACAATGGCTCGCCTCTAAGTAAGTGAAAGGTAAAGGTTTCCCCTTGACATTAAGTCTAATCATGTCCAATTCTAGGGGGTGGTGCTCATCTCAATTTCTAAGCTGAAGAGCCGGCGTCATCCATAGACACCTCCAAGGTCATGTGGCCAGCATCGTTACCTTCCCGCCAGAATGGTACCTATTGATTTACTTACACTTGCATGTTTTTGAACTGCTAGGTTGGCAGAAGCTGGGGTTAACAGCGGGAGCTCACTCCACTCCCTGTATTCAAACTGCGGATCTTTTGGTCAGTAAATTCAGCAGCTCAGCTGTCTAACCTGCTGCACCATCATGAGCTCCAACTCTAAGTACTACTCCCAAAACATCAAATCCTGTGATTCTATACTCAGTCAAAGGGGAAGCGTAGTGCTAAAAATATGTCACGGGACAAGCTCGTATATCTGCAATCCATTTTTAAATAAATACATGTTATTCATTAATATGTATTTATTTTTAAAAAATCAGGGCAAAGGGAATCCCAAACAACCCTATGAATTGATGTCTGCATTAGGATTAGGAAAACGAAACTGGCATTTGCAAAAGCCATACTTTCAGAGAGCTTTGTGCTTGAACTTGCAGTCCGACGTGAGTCATTTGAGTCAAGAACCACCAAATTAAACATTGCACAAAACTGGAGGAGGGAAAATATTTATTTGCAATTAATCCCTTTTTTGGAAACAAATGGAACTCATAATATGTTTCAATGAAAAAAAATTAAGCTCGTAGTTTGCTTCCTCTTAAAAAGCCACGGGAGAGGAATAACAGAAGATGTTTAGCATCCTTAAGACTAACAGATTTACTGCATCAAGCGATGTCCTGGATTTCAGTCATTTAAGAATAAGATATTAACTAAGCATGCATTTGCTCTGTAGAATTAATGCACTTTGATATCACTTTAACTCAGCGTTTCTCAACCTGGGGGTCAGGACCCCTGGAGGGGTTGCAATGGGTGTGTCAGAGGGGTCACCAAAGACCATCAGAAAACAGTATTTTCTGTTGGTCTTGGGGGTTCTGTGTGGGAAGTTTGGCCCAATTATATCATTGGTGGGGTTCAAAGGGCTCTGTGAACTACAAATCCCAAATGTCAAGGTCTATTCTCCCCAAATTCCACCAGTGTTCACATTGGGGCATATTGAGTATCCGTGCCAAGTTTGGTCCAGATCCATCACTGTTTGAGCCCACAGTGCTCTCCGAACACATGTGAACTACAACTCCAAAACTTCAGGTCAATGCTCACCAAACCCTTCCAGTAGCGGTGATGCTTTACGGAACTAAAACTCACAGGAGTTTATAACATTGAGCCATAGCAGAAAGTGGTGTCAAACTGCATTAATTCTACAGTGGAGACACACCCAGAGGCTGGAATATTGTACTCTGCGTGGGTCTACACCAAACATGGGCAAACTTCGGCCCTCCAGGTGTTTTGGACTTCAACTCCGGTAGGCTGTTAGGAATTGTGGGAGTTGAAGTCCAAAACACCTAGAGGGCCAAAGTTTGCCTATGGCTGATCTAAACCATAGAATTAATGCTATTTGACACAACTTTAATCCCAAACACTTCTGGTGGAAGCATTTCAGAGAAGGGATATCCAACCTGTAAGACCCACATTCCTTCATCCTGTCCTGATCTGTAAGAGATGAACCCACAGTAAGATGTTTATGTAACATGTATTTCTGGGGAATCTCAGGGTCAAACTTTGGAAAGCTTCTGATGAAGTTGCGTGCTTTTGTTGGATGACGGCCATCAGAGGCAAAAACAGCAGCTGCACTTGAAATGCCGAAAATTCTGTGTGCAGAAGAGCTTGGCAAACATTGGCAAACTCCTTCCTGCTATATATCTTCTAAATTTAAACTCCGAAAGAAGTTTAGAGCTCCAAGTGCTTCCAACTCAACAATGAACTCTTGTGAAGATCATCATCTCAGACAGTTTTATAGTAGTCACAGGTCAGAGCTATGGGTTATTTGCTTGCCCATCTGATTTGGGGCATGTTGACAACAACGGGATCTTTGTAATTTAAGCGGGTCTGCTCTAATAGTGACTGGATCCCACCCATAGTTCTGAGCTGAGGACACAAGGAAAATA